GGGAGGGCATATAAGGAGAGAGAAAGGGAGAACTTTTTTCAAATGGCCTGATTTTAGGCAACTGTCAGCAAATAACCTATTATCTCATGGCTAGCAGGAGAAAAGAAATGAACACATACACTGCATTTTAAAAATCATAAGGACCGGACCTTAAAAATCCTTTTGGAATTGAGCATTTGTTTGATAGAACATAAATCTGAAAGCTAGCAAGCAGGCCTATTTGAAAAAGCTGGGGAGTCTCCAGTGTTTGAGACCACCTGTCATTTCACATGAGCCTGGAGCCTTGTAGAATAAAGTCAGCCCAATGGTTCCGTCTTCATCTTTTAAAATGTTGTATTTATGGAGCAGGATCGAGTTGATATATATCTCAGAAAGTCCACGATTCTGCTCATGGCTCCTTGCTGACTAACGTCTCCAGCAGAGGAGAGCAACGAGCAAGTTCATGAATTATGGCTGTCTCTGAGGTTCTCTTATTAAAACTACTTTTTATTTTAGGAGTGTCTGCTTTGATTAAAGCCATGAGAGCCAGGAGCAAATGAGAATGTGTCTGGATTTTACAAGTCTCACGTTTTATAGCAGGAACCCTGATGAAGCCTGTATTTTAATTATTACACTGTTAAGGCAGGTGATGAGTATTAACCTCACAAGTTCAACTAGTTTCTCCTCTGCTCTCTGCTTTGGGGTCTAAAAAATCCTGTGGCAGGAGACTTGTTGGTTGAATCCTATTTTTACTTGTTCATCTCCTCTACTTGGCTGCATAAATATTTTCATTTATTTATATATCCCTCTTTGCTGCAAAAATTATTTTTTAAATGACTTGGTTGAAGAATGTTTTGTGGGCTGAGTCCCAGGTTAAGAGTGAACCTAGGAACACCTGTATCTATTTCTATATTTACTAAACTAAAAAAGATTATATACTTCTATATAATAAAGATTACTTACTTATATACAGTAAGTATATAAGACATAAGTAATGGTAAATCATCTAAAACGAATGACAAAGAAGACCTGAAGATGATTTTCTATTGGTTTTCTAGGAAGCTTCCGGTCTCTTCCTCCTCGGCTTGATTCTGTGGCTGACAGTTTGCATTCTTGAAGTGTTCCTTGTTTTTCTGATTCTGTGATGTGAGATCATCAAACCCCTCTGCGTTACCGCATTTCAGAGTAACTTAGTGCTTGAAATGGGAAGATGCTTTGAGTGTCTGTTTAATCTTGTGGGAACGGCGGACTAGGTATTTCTTAAAGCTCCCTGATCCGTCGGCTCTGCCCTTGACTACACTTCTGGTAGAGCATTTTCCTTTCATCTCTTTCACCAGTCTTCTCTCCTTACCTCCGCAGGTGAGCATCCCTTTTCTTTTCATCAGCTTCCTTTCTCTCTTCCAAGCCTGGACTCTAAAAATCTCTCTTCTTCTTGGGCTTTTAGCTTTGCCTTTCTCTTCTGCTCCTCACGTGCCCAGGACACTCTGTGTACTGAACTGGAATATCACATAGGCGGGAGCAGTCATGGGGCAGATGTTATTATATTGGCTTTACAGAGAAACTTAAACAGGGTCACAGTGAATGACAGTTGGTGTTTCTTACTGTGGATAATGGCCTAGGTTTAATTGGTAGCCAGGACACACAGCATGTACCTTGTACATATAGACGTTCCATGTATCAACTCTCTCCTCTTGTCTGTTAGCTTAGATCTGTCAATTATCCATAGACCAATAGGTAATATTCTGTTGACCCTGCTGTGTTTATTCTTAATCACTTACCTGTTGAATGAAAGCTCTCAAGATTGGTTGGGACTATACGCACACCAGAAACTTCTCACATCCCACAGGGGCTAAAGTAGGCTTTTCCATATTCTTTTCCCTAAAAATTTTTGAGCACCTTTTTGACATCTTAAATAGTTAAATAGAGAAATATTAGCTTGATAACAAAGTTATCACTGCAGGCGCTTTATATTTCTGTGGAGGGTCAGTGCACGTTAACTGGTGAATTACCTTTGATTTGGGATCTGGAGAGCAATAGATGTGGGTGTGCATGATATGCAAATGTCTATAAAAATGTTACTCCTCCATACCTTCTGTGCAAATCAGTTTTAAATCATCACACAACGTAGCTGCATTTTAATTTCTAATGGAGAAAATCCATGAAGTTCAATTGCCTCTAGGCCTGGCTGAGTGATCAGCAAGTCAAATGATTTATTTCGTACTGAACCAGAGGCAGGGTGGGAGGGAGGTACAGGGAGAACCAAAAAACATCCTTGGTTCTTGTCTTCAAATTCCCTGGAGTCCTCTGGGGGCCCAAGGCATGTGTTCAGTGTGTGGCCCAACACATGCTATTTTACAAGTCAGCAGGACATGCTCTGAGAAGGGCTGAGTGATGGGATAATTAGAACCAAGCAGACAGCGGGGTGGATGGTTTGTCTGCAGATAAATAGCTTGTTTGCTAATTGCCGGCACCAGATTTTCTGGGCAATTAGACATTCGGTGTCTTCCAAAACCTTCTGTGCAAATGTGGACACATGGCTGCAGGCCTTGCAGGTAGCGGGTGGAGAGAGGGTGGCTCACGGGCCCAGCCGCTCCGTGGCACATGGGATCTTCCCGGACCGGGGCACGAACCCGTGTCCCCTGCATCGGCAGGCGGACTCTCAACCACTGCGCCACCAGGGAAGCCCCGAGCAAGTTTTTTTAATAAAATTTTTTTATTGTGGTAAAGTATATATAACATAAAATTTGCCATTTTAACCATTTTTAAGTGTGCAAATCAGTGGCATTAATTACATTCACAATGTTGTGCAACCGTCACTACTTTTTCCAAAATTTTTCATCACCCCAAATGGAAATTCTGTACTCCCCATTCCTCCCTCTAGCCCCTGGCTACTTCTAATCTACTGTCTGTCTCTATGAATTTGCCTGTTCTAAACATTATATGGTATTTGTCCTTTTGTGTCCAGCTTATTTCACTTAGCATAATGTTTTCTAGGTTCATCCATGGTGTATCATGTGTAAGAATTTCATTCCTTTTTACAGCTGAATGATATTCCATTGAATGGATATACCACATGTTGTTTATCCATTTGCCTGTTGATGGATACTTGGGTTATTTTCACTTTTTGGTTTTTGTGAATAATGCTGCAGTGAACACGTACATACAAGCGTCCCTGTTTTCAGTTCTTTTGGGTAGTTACTTAGGAGTGGAATTCTTAGGAGTGGAATTGAGTCTATGGTAAGGCTATATTTGACTTTTTGAGGAACTACCAAGCTGCTTATCACAGCAGCTGTATCATTTTGCATTCCCACAAGATATATACAGGGGGTCCAATCTCTCCACATCCTTGCCACCATTTGTTATTTCCTTTTTTTCTTTTCCATTAGAGCCATCCTAGTGGGTGTGAAGCAGTATCTCACTGTGGTTTTGATTTCCCTAATGACTAATGAGTGCATTTCCCTAATGACTAATGAGTTAAGCATCTTTCACGTGCTTATCGACCATTAGTGTATGCTCTTTGGAGAAATGTCTGTTTAAGTCCTTTGCCCCACCAGTGGATTCGTGGCCTCTGTACTTACTTGCTTCTGCACCTTTCTCCCAGAGGTTGGAACTGCGCCTTATCAGGAGGAGAGGGAGCATACGCCTGCAGATTGGGGAGGTGGCTGTGCAGGTTTGAAGCTTCATATTCACTCTTTCATGATTCATTTTATTCCCTCAACCCATTTGGTGCCCACTGTAATGATGCTGTTCGAGTTCTCACTAAGCAGGAAAAAAAAAAAATCAGTAAGCGCGTGGGATTAACCAAAGTGATTTGGCAAGCAGAGGCAGACGGAGCCACTCCTAGTGCTTCCCTAGAAGCAGACAGGTCTTTCTCAGATACCTCATACCCTCTGGGTTTCCTTGACTACAGGTGTTGTTGTAGCACATTACCCGTTTTTTTCCCCGTCAGGTATTAGTCTATATACTGAATGGAGCAGTATTTGCAGAACGTACTGGATGGTACCTGGGATTTGTTGGTGACCAGGGTCTGGCCAGCACCTCTGCAGGGGGAGCCTGCAGTGCTTGTTCCGCTGCCCTGCAGGCCCTGCCGGTCCTGGGCAGCGGGCAGGGAGAGTGGGTGGAGCTTCCAGCACTGACCAGGGACAGGGCGACTTCTCCTTGGGTGCTCATCCCTGGGGGAGAGCCTCGGGGCTCTGGCAAGGTTTCAGAACTAATGTCTGTGCCTGAGTAATTGCAAGAGCAGTAGGGGAATCGACAAAATGCTATTCATGCTGCCTGGCTGTTGGCTCTTCTCTGATTTGATCGCGTGTCTGTTGCAGGGCCCCGACTGGGGGACCCAGGAATGCTAATCTGTCTGTCTTTCTGCTATGTTTTTTGTTTTGTTTTTTTAAATTGAATGTCAAAACCCTTCAGCATCACTGAAGAGAGATGAGTTCCCCTTGTTCTGGCAGGGCCTCGTGCCAGAGGGAGGGAGGAGGTGTTGCATCCACAAAGCAAGGGAATTATTTCTGGAAGTCGCACTCCTGTCCTCTATTCTTACTATTAGGCTTGCTAATCTTTGGGGTGGGGTCCCATACTCCTTTGGGAACCTGACAGCTGTGGATGCCCTTCCAAGAAAATGCATGAAAAATTTGCACATCATCTCAGGGGGCTACAGGCTCCTCTGGTCCATACTGGCGCCTGGGCTAAGGACCAGCTCTGCAGAGGGCATGAGCCAGGTGCCAAGGCGATGTGGGGACTGGGCAGCCTCTCTGCTAAGTGGGAGTTGGTTGGCACATAGGGAGAGTCCTGGTGGTCACTGTGAGAAAAGGAACGTCTCATTTGGTCAAGTTTTAAATATCAAATACGGGGGTGGACAGATCAGACCACCCTACCTTTCTGGCTGGAGTTCAGCCTCGCCCCACGTTAGCTGGCTTTCCAGGGGCAACAGTCCCTGCAGGAGCAAAGCCACCCAGCCCGCATTGCTGCTGTCCGGCTCAGTCCACACCACCTCTAAGGAGCGCACTTGTCTTTCCTTTCAGAAATGGCCCCTACATCTGCATATTCATCTCCAGCCCGGAGTCTGGGGGACACAGGAATAACACCTCTGTCCCCTTCCCACACTGTGGTAAGAAATGTGTGTGTATGGGGAGGGGGGTACGTGTGCTGATTACTTTGCGTTCAGAGGCGCCTCTCACGTGATGGGCTTCTGAGCGGCTCCTCACGTTCATGGTGGAGATTAAGTTGTCCTCGTACCAGCCCCGTGAGCCTTACCAAGCCCCTTCGCCACTGTGGGTCAGCAAAGGCTTTCCACGGTGTGGATGGTGCTCCTGGAGCCATTGGCCTGGGTGTGGGTAACATGAGCAGGCAGGGTGGGAGCAGCTCTTCAAAGATTCAGGGCTCAGAGACTGCGAGGCATCCTCTTGGGAGGAAGCAGCCACTTTGGGCTGGCGGGTCAGTCAGTGAAATGCAGTGGCTTTTCCACTGTAGTTAACCGCCGTGACCAAAAGCTGTGGCTGTAATGGCTTCTGCACCAGCTTGCCCGAGAGAGAGGACCTGGGCAGCGCGGGGGGCTGGAGGCTGGGCATTTGCTCCCACCCTGCCCCTCACTGCAAAGGTGGATACTGTGGGGCAGCCGTTCCAGGGATTTACATGTAGCCAACCAGAGAGACGTACCCGGAGGAAAGGGCGGCTTTGTACAAGCTGCTCAGAGCCTCAAAGCAGACCCTGCTGAGAAGAACTTCAGAGCCATCGCTAGGTAGGGACGCCAGCTTGTCTTGGTTTTCCTGGAACCATCCTGGTTTCCACGCAAAGTCCTGTATCCTGGAACTCCCTCAGGCTTGGGAAAACTGAGAGGCTTGGTCACCTAACAGCTGGGTCCTGTGGTTTTCAAACTCTGTACCCCGAGGGTTCCCTGTAAAACTTCAGGATAAGCTGAACGGGATGGGGGGCAGTGTGATGAAAGGCCAGACATGTGGGGTTCTCACCCCCTGCTCTAACCAATACTCTTCAAATCCAAAAATTATTGGTATAATTTGAAGTTCTGTGGATGTTAAAAAAAAAAAAAGTCTACATTTGCTTAAAGGATTTTTTGGAAGTCTGTCATGGCCTGACCAACTCACTTGACAGATGAGGAAAGGCTCGAGGCCCCAAGGGGGCAGGACTCAGCAGGGTCATATGATGTCTATGGCAGGACCGGGCAGGGTCCCTGGTATGCTGAGCCCCACATCCATGCATGACACGCCCGGGCAGGTGGAGGGGTCACCTGGCAGGTGCACAGGGCACAGCTGAGCAGGGTCTGGAGATCTGTGCAGGGACTGGGGGAGGGCGATGGGGGGCAGAGGGGGGTGTCACTCAGGGAACCACTGGGGTTCCAGCCCAGATGGAAGAGTTTCCGTAATTAGCCACGTTTGTGCACAGTTGATAAAGGGAGTGTTGAACAAGTGTAGGCAGGGGCCCTCCCCAGTGGCCTGGCCCTTGTTCAAGAGACACCTCCATCTCTCCTTGAGTTGGTCAGGTAGGGGCTGAGAAAGCCTGCCCTCTCCCCAGGACTCACCACATGGCAGCCTTGAACCAGAATGTGCAGTATGCTTCTGTCTACAGTGGGCACACAGCAGGGCAGGGTGGAGCCCTTCTGAAAGCCTGGCTTGACTGCCCCACCCACTCCCTGTACCCCGCTCGGTTATCTGCAGAACGATGCCGACCCAAACGTCTCTGAGCAGCAGACGTTTCTCGTGGTGGTGGCTGTCGACTTCGGGACCACATCCAGCGGCTATGCCTACAGCTTCACCAAGGAGCCAGAATGCATCCATGTAATGAGGTGAGTGCTGTGGGCAGGGAGGGGCAGGTGCTGGCGCCGGGCGCTGTAACTATGGAGACTTAGGGGAGGGCCTTGGGGGAGGGGAGAGGGATTAGTACAGTGAGCAGGTGAATGGTACGTAGTTGGCAGGTCCTGGATTCTGGCCCCGCTTGGCCCAAACTCACCATGCCACTTGGGGCAAGCCACTTCTGATCTCTGGGCTCCAGGTTCCTGGTCTGTCAATGTGTTGCTTTAATTCTGACTTGGTTTGGGGAAGGACCTGGACAGTATGTTTGAAACCAGGTGATTCCAGCGTACAGCCTGGGCAAGAGGTGCTGACTTTTAAGGTGCTGGTGATGGAGGAGATCCAGGCCTCCACTCACCACTGTGTGACCTCAGGCAATTGCTGAACCTTCTAAAGCTCTGTTTCCTCATCTGTGAAATGGGGATAATGGCAGTACCTGCTTGACAGAGTGTGTGTGCAAATGTAACGAGATTTCCCATCAAGCACTTAGCAGGTAGTAAGATGTAAGCAGGGAAGGTGCTGGCTCTTTCAAGGGAAGTCCTGAGATGACAGTAATCAGAAGTGGGAAGCACCTGAGAAAAAGCAGAGTGGGGTGAATTTCAGCCAACTTCACCCTGAAGCTGCCCTGGGTCTCTTGGGCCACTCTCCCCGCCCCGCCTCCCCACTCATGCACACAGCAGCCCTGGTGTCTACCCCATCCACGTGTGATCAGCTGTCTGCGAGGACCCTGGTCTATCCCGGCACCAGTGCCTGCTCCCCAAGACTGGCTCACGCCTTCTTGCAGTCTCTGGCCACTCAAAGCTTTGGGAACCAGGGATTTATCACCCTGATTTTCCAAGGATGGCTCTGAAGATACATTGTGATGGGCTTTGCAATTCCTTCAGCTGGTCATTGTGGAATTTAGTTATCACTCCCAGAATAAGATCTTAGCATTTGTTATAGAGAGTGCTGTTTAAAACATAAGTCATGATAGATGTGATCCCTACCCCACTCTTGATTGAGGCCCTGCCTTTCCTCTGGAAAACTGGGTGTCCTAAGATGCTTCAGAGACCCGTGGGTGTCGTCTCATCAGGAAATAACAAAAAGCCATTTCTAGTAGAGAACCCCGATTGCAGCAGAGCCTTCGGTGTTCAGTCACCGCCGAGATTCTGCCTCGGGTTCGTGGGACAGATGCCGTACGGGTCCGCTCTGCCATCTCCCGAGGTGGGAACCTCGGAAAGAAAAGAGCTCTGTATTAAAAGCTAGAGTCAACATTTATCAGCTTCTAGTTGTTTTAAGAAATGTTATTTCAAAGGGATAGTCATACAATGAAAACTGAAGAAAAAAAAAAGAGCAAAAATAACTTTGAACTTGCTGGGGAGGAATTCTCACAAAACACCCACAGATGCAGGGTCTCCAGGGACATTATCATAGTCATCGTAGAGATTTTTGGAGGGAGGTTCTACCTGAATTTTAGTTCAGTCAGAACATATTAACATCACCATGATCCAGACGGACAGAGTTATGAATGAGAAAGTGTAAGTTTTTGTATTTAAATAGGAATGAAGGATTAAAAATTTGAAGGGCAAAACCTCAGGAAGTCCATTACCTACTGAAAATGTCCGTGTTAATAGTAATGGAAAATCCATTCCCGAAAGGTTGTGTGGGGCGCGCCTCTGGCCCAGGCGCCAGTGTCTAGCTGAGCTGCTGATCACCCGTGCGTCTCGGTGGGGTCACCACGGGGACTTTGGCTCCCTGGATAGAAGCCTGCATCCTCATGGGGCTTGACTGGGAAACCGGCCAGGGATGACTCCAGCCTCACCTGTGTGGCAAATCTAGGTGGAGGTTGGCGCTCCGTCTGGACTGTGATGCCAGGGGCAGGTGAGAGCCCATCCAGGAGTACAGCCACCTCCCCAGGAGGGCAGGCCAGGGAGAGAGGTGCGCTTCCTCTCGGGCATGTGTCTCCATCGGGGGCTGCTCGTAGGGGTCGTGTGCTTAGTGGCAGGACCAGAGCCAGCTGCTGAGCCAGGACCTGGGGGGGTCTCCTCGTGGAGCCTCTTGGCAGCCGGGGTGTCTCTGCCGTGGCCCCGAAGGAGGGAGAAGCATCCACTCTTTACTTTTCTCCTTCCTTCTATCTGCGAGAAGGAAGGAAGCTTTGCTGGGGCTCAGCCTACCCTCTGATTGCTCCATGACACCCATCCGTCAGTTCCAGGATGTAATCCCGTCGCATCTGCCCGCCTGCCTGTCTGTATCCACCCCTCCCCACTTCTGGGTCCTTTTCAGCCTATAGATGTGCAGGATAGGGTTCCTTCCCTCCTCACGGTTCCCGTCAGCACTCTCACCCACCTTGTTGCTGCGACTGTCCCCCCAGTATGGGGGTGCCCAGGTCTGTTTCCTGCCTGGATCTCTTTCTGAACCCCAGGCTTGTATCTTCAAGCCCCTCCTGGGAGTTCAATGCCAGAACGTTCAAATGAAGCTCTCCACGTTTCCTCCTGCCTCCTCCTTGACCAGGGCATCTGTGAGGGGCACTGTCTCCTCCAGGTTCCCATGCTTGAAACCTCTGGGGCTCCTTGCACCTGCTCACCACCGAGGCCATTTGTCTCGGTTCTCCGCTGGATGGCTCCTCCCCCGTCGTCCCCCCTCTCTCTTCCCAGGGCTCTCCACCCCCGTATGAGCTCCCTCACCTCGAGGCCTGAGTCTCCTGCTCAGCCACCTGGCTTCCCGTCTCCCGCCCTTTGGTCCAGTTCGCTGCAGTCAACAGTAGCTCTGATTTCTGTCCTGCCCCTGCTCTGAAACCTTCAGTGGTTCCCTATTACTCACTGATTAAATCTCTCACTCCTCAGGGTTCTCTTCAGCCTGGTTCCTACCACCTTCCCAGTCTCGTTTTTCACACATGTACACAAGCACCCTTCTCATTTACACGCTTTCTCCAACCTACACAGTCACTTAGCTTGCCCACCTCAGAGCAGCCTGCAGTGTCCTTCCCTCCTTCAACATCAGGTCTCTCCTGAGCCCTGCATTCTTTCCAAGACCCCAGCTCTGGCACCTCTGTCTCCTCTGACCCCTCTGGGACATTTCCCTGGGCCCCTCATTTCCATCTGATGAGGCAGGTATTTATGTGTTTGTTTATACCCTACCTGTTTCAAAGAGGATGCAAACCAGCTATCCATCTGCTATTGAGTGCTTGCAAATTAAAGAACCAAAACCCAAGCCAAAAAACAAAACAAAAAAACCCATTACCTACTAGGTTGTGAGTTATTTGAAGGCAGAGACATAACTGTTTCATCTCTGTGTCGCTAGCAGCTGGCACACAGTAGATGCTCAGTAAACGCTGAAAGGATGAAGCAGACTTTGTTACTTAGCAAGAACCTGGTACTTGTCCCTTTCGTTTTTCTTATTGACTGAAGTTGTGTCTCTAGTCGCTACTCAACCAGCTAAACCAGAGGGCGCCTTTGGCAGCCACCATGGGCACTCACATCTGTAACGGCCACGCACACAGTAGGTGCTCACACCAGTGCCGCCTGCATTGGGATTACGCAAGAAGGCCCATGACCTCTGCCTTTCCTTGGTGGCAGGCGATGGGAAGGAGGCGACCCTGGGGTGTCCAACCAGAAGACTCCGACCACCATCTTGTTGACTCCGGAGAGGAAGTTCCACAGTTTCGGGTATGCCGCCAGGGACTTCTACCACGACCTGGATCCCAACGAGGCCAAGCAGTGGCTGTACCTGGAGAAGTTCAAGATGAAGCTGCACACCACTGGGGTGAGCCAGCCTCTCCCCGGCCCCACGTCCTCCACATTCGAGAGCTGAGGTTCCTCCAGCCTTTCCAGACCTTGGGGGCCCTCAGGTTTCTCCCAAGCAGAAATGAATGTCCATTCACCTCGAGTTTAGAAACAACCTGGAGCACATGACACTTTTGTGGAACACACAGCACTTTCTGACGTACACACGGGCAGGGAGATATTCAGAATGTTTAGCAACTTGTTTGCTTTGGGAATTGACCAGTCAGAGAGACACTGCCTGGATGGAGCACAGGCATAGGGGGCTGGGAGACCCCTGCTGTGCCAGGAGATCCCCCTTCACCTGCAGGATTGTTGGGAGATCAAGGAATCCTGAAGGAAGGACTCGGGGATGAGGGAGCATTTTGGGGACTCAGGGTAGTGGTTATAACTAACCGGTTTGGAAGTAACAACCAGCAACAATGGCTCATTAACCTCTGTGGGGAAGGAGGTAGCTCAGGAAGTCAAGGGCCCAATAATTGGAGGCCCAATGCCTGAAGTAGTTCTGCTTCCAACTTGCCAGGGTTTTGTAAGATGGCCAAGTTGATTAGCACCCTCCCCCAAGCTTCATCGAAATGTTGAGCCATAGGATAGAATTTTTTCAATTTAAGCATTTTATCCCTTAAATTTTCCTTAACTCTCAGTACTTAGAGATGCAGGATGGTGATAGTGTTTAAGACCACAGACCATGAGGCCAGATGGCCTGGGTTTAAATCCCACCTCTGACACCTTTGAGATACTTAATCCAAGTCACTTAGACTCTCCTTGCCTTGCTTTACCTTATCTGTGAAATGGAGACTTGCAGAGTGCTTTTCTTACGGGGACGTTGTAAGGATTAAAGGAATCAAAATACACAAAGCTCTCAGAACCATGCCGGTCGGTCCTTAGTTAAAGTCAATTGCTAGCGTCTATTATTTATTGCTTTCATATGTCTGCTTGTTAAGTGTTTGCAGATGACAAAACAAATGTTACTGGGAAACGCTGCAGCCAGCACCCTGCCTTCCAGGGCTTGGTGCTCACCCGTGTGTGTGTCTCTCTCTGAAGCACACTGACTTCGCCTCAAAATGCACCCTTCTTGTTTCACCTGATAGGATTCAGCAGTGCCCAATAGGAATCTCCTGCAGGTGGAAGCCCAGGAATTTTTTCAATTTGAATTTTTCAATTCCAAGCCTGTGGCTTCCTGATGCCTGGAAGCCGCCTGGGGGCCACCACCCCAAAGCTGGGGTGTCTTTGCTGAGCCCCAGATGTGGGAGGAGTGAGCATGTGTAGAGGGGTCAGGATGATGGGCAGGCCCCACAAGGCCGGTTTAGCTGCTTGATACCCCTTCACACTCCAAAGGCAAAGACTAATTACCCAGCCTGGATCAATCCCGAGACCACACTGATTGTTTTCCCTGGTGGCAATGCGTCTTCTGGTTCCAGGAGACTTGGGGGTTTTCTCCTGATTTTTGCTCCCCTCTCTGCCCATTCCCACCCTCTGGGGACTATTTTCATCATTTTTTAATGACCGCAGTCCATCCGGCATCTCACGGAGCATCTTACACCCAAGGGCTGCACTCAGCAACTGCTGTAGCTTCTGGCAGAGGAAGGAAGGCAATGATGCTGGGCTCCCAGTGGATTAGACCCCACAATCCTTAAAATAGGAGCCCTTCTATTTTTGTGACTTGGTTGGCAGCTCATCGGGAAGTGAAAGCTTCGTGTCTGTTTAGCACCGTGCACGTCAGTGATTCGGTATGATTATCTAGGCTTCCATTAGGGGGGCTCCCAAGGGTGACCATGTGTGTCATGTGGAAATAGTATGTAAATTGCATCGGGAGTGGCGTCTGCTGCATTTTTTTTTTCTTCCTGGGCTCTGTTGCTGCCCCGAAACCTCTGCCCCCAGAGGATCCAGGGGAGAGAGGAAAAGAAGGAGGGAGGGAAGGAGGGAAGAAGGGAGCAGTAGAGGTGGGGCCTGAGGGGAGCAGCCAGGGCCCCCTACACAGTAAGGGGACATTGCTGCCAGCCCTGTCCTGGGGGACGTGCCGTCCTAGGCTGCCCCTCAAACACCAGGAAACACAGACGTGGTTCACTGGGTTCCCCAGGTCTCCAAGTGACAGTGCTTAAAGCCAGAAGGCATGTCTCTCCTTCTTTTTACTATTTCATTCCTGTCCCGGCTCTAGGACCTCACCATGGATACAGACCTGACGGCAGCAAATGGCAAGAAAATCAAAGCTCTTGAAATCTTTGCTTATGCCCTGCGGTACTTTAAGGAACAAGCGCTGAAGGTAGGTACATGCCAGAGCCTGTGCTGGTGGCAGGGGGGCACCTGCCAGCTAGGGGAGCAGGGACAGCCTCAGGGCAGAGAATGTGCCCTTGTGCACTGCTGGTGGGAAGGGAAAATGGTGCAGCTGCTGTGGAGAACAGCCTGGCAGTTCCTCAAAAGGTTAAACACGGAGTGACCATCTGCCTAGCAGTTCCAATCCTAGGTATGTACCAAGAGAAGTGAAAACATATATTCACACAAAAACTCGTCCATGAATGTTTCTAGCAGCACTATTCATAATAACCAAAAAGCAGAAACAACCCAAATGTCCATCAGTGGATGAATGGTTAACTAAATGGGATTCACCCATACGCTGCAATATTATTCAGCCTTAAAAAGGAGTGAAGTACTGACACCTGCTCTGGCACGGATGGACCTTGAAGACATTATGCTAACATTATGCTAAGTGAAAGAAGCCAGATACAAAAGGCCACACATGATTCCGTTTGTAGGAAATGATCAGAAGAGGCAAATCCGTAGAGACAGCAAGTAGACTAGTGGTTGCTAGAGGCTGGGGGGGTAGCAGAGGAGTGACTGCCAGGGGGTATGGGTTACTTTTGGGGGGTGATGAAGTTAGATAGCAGGGATGGTTGCGCAACCTTGTGAATATACTAAAACCCACTGAATTGTGCACTTTATTTTATCTTACTTTTTTGGCTGCGCGGGCTTTCTCTAGTTGCGGCGAGCAGGGGCTACTCTTCGTTGCGGTGTGTGAGCTTCTCATTGCAGTGGCTTCTCTTGTTGCGGAGCATGGGCTCTAGGCCCGTGGGTCTCAGTAGTTGTGGCACAAGGGCTTCAGTAGTTGTGGCTTGTGGGCTCTAGAGCGCAGGCTCAGTAGTTTCGGCGCATGGGCTTGGTTGCTCTGCAGCATGTGGCATCTTCCTGGACCAGGGATCGAACCCACGTCCCCTGCATTGGCCGTGAACCCGTGTCCACTGCACCACCAGGGAAGTCCCAAACTGTGCACTTTAAAAAGGTGAATTTTGTGGTATGTGAATTATACCTCAGTAAAACAAACAAGAGAAAGGAAGGCGGGAGACATGCAGCAGCTGTGCGATCTTGGGCGAGGTGCTCGTTCTCTCTGATACCCACGTTCCTAACATGAAAAGGGGGTCAGATAACTGTGCCTCGTGGGTCGTTTGGTAGTAAGTGAAATATTCGATGTTAACTGCCTCCCTGGGGGCTCAGCAACTATTTACTTGGTAAATAGTTGCTGCTGTCCCCCCTCCTCCATGCCCCCCACCCCAGACCCCGTGCAAGAAGCTGACCAGGTGAATAAGCCCCCTTGGTTGGCCCTTGCAAAGGTTTGTTCAGTGATGGCCCAGAATTAAGAAAATGGCTAATTTCCGAATGGAATAGAGCCATCCACTCGGCGTCCCCTCGCATAGGCATGGTGATGAGCGGGTGTAGATCAGATGATTCAAGAGCCTCGTGTATTAAACTCTATCCAAAAAGAATTGGGAACTTCAGAAGCATTTGGTATTATGTGATCGCTAGAAGAAATTTAGTGAATTCTAGAAATAGAGTAGAACAGAATTCTAGAAATAGGGCTAGAGGGAGACAAAGAGGTGAGGTCGTAACACTGCTTTCATCCATTCAAGTACCTCTTGTTTTGAGTACTTTTTGTGAGCCAGGTGCTATGCGAGTTCTGGCCACGTGGAAAGAAGCCCAGTGCATGCAGTCGATGGGTGGGTGTCATGAGGGGGTAACCGTGGGTGTTGAGTGTTCGGTGAAGGCAGAGGTTCTGCCCAAGGGCAGCAGCAGGGAATCCTCCCCAGAGGAGAGGGATTGCGGGCCTCTGACAGGCTGCAGCTGGAAGGGCAGGTGTTTTGCACCAGTGGAACGGCCCAGGCACAGCTCAGGGGAAAGAAAACATAGCAAACCGCTGTGGGAAGCAGGCAGCTTGGAGCAGGCAAAGGGCAAGGCTGCAGAGAGAGAGGGAACAGCAAGCTCCGGCCGAGGTCGTGTGACGCCTCAAGGGCCAGGCAAAGGAATTCTTCCTGGGTCGTGGGGAGCCCTCAAAGGATTGTCTCACATGGGTTGCCATGGCCACAAGGATAGCGTTAGAGGAGGGGAGACCACGTGGTCCTGAGGGCCTGCAGGTGGAGGAGAGTGGTATGTTAGCACCTCACTCAGATCCTGAAGCAGGTCTGTCCGAGGGCTGAGGGTGAGGCTGAGACTCCAACTGCGGGGTCATTTGAGGAACATGAAAACCAGGGAGATAAAGGTGGTGGGGTGGAGGGAGGGAGTGGTTCCTGGGAAAAAATTCTTCTATGGAAAGGGGTGGGGAGAGGATTCTAAGGAAGGAAGTGGGAGGGAGATGGGCTGGGTTCGCTTCAGGAAGAAGGTGGTGACCAGCCAGAGGCAGGAGCAGTAAGGCCGGCGGGGACCTGCGGAAGGGAAGCCGCCATTGGTCCAGGAGACGGCGAAGCAGGAGAGGAGGTGGACCTCTGTCGGCCTGAAGAGAAGGATCTCAGAGGGATGGGCTCAGCTCCTGGAGAAAGATGAAGGCGCAGAGGGAGGTGGGGGTCTCCGGAATAAGAGGAGCAGCCGTGCGGACTCAGGGAAGATGTAGAACTTGAGAAACTCTACGACACTGGAGTGTGTTTCAAGTTTGCCACGAAGAAAGGCGTGAACAGCCCATCTGTCAAGGGAGGGAGGAGGTGGAGGGGGCAGAGGTCAGGCACGGGCGTGGGTAGGTGGGTGGTTGTGGACCTGTCGGCTCAGCCAGAAGCTTCCGGAACCTTCTCTGAGCAGGGAACACGTTGTAAAGAAATTCCATGCAGAAGAGCTGTTTGAGGAGGTGTATAGGAACTAGGCCCTGCATAAGAGGCTGGCTGGTGTTTGAGGGGCAGGTGGGTTCAGTGCAGAGGGGGACTATTGCATGTTGGACCAGAATAAGCTCAAGTAGAATATCTCAGAAATCACGTCCCTGGAGCAGTCTCACTATTCACGAGGGACAGTCAGTGAAAGTGCCTGACGTGAGATGTTCAGTCAGTGCCAGGTTCCTTCCCTTCCAAGCTGATCTCCACCCGTTGGCAAACAAACAGCTCATCAGACAACTTTCCGTACAGCCAGGGAAGCCCATCATTCATCTTTGAGCCTTTTCCTGTTTAAAGAGTTTAAAATAGCCTGGATGGTTAAGGCACCACACTTAGAATCCCTCCCAACCCATCACACGCTCACCTGCTTTTAAAGCCCAGCGCAGACCTGCAAGGAAATAAAACATGATTAAAAAAACAAAAATAAACACGAACAAAAAATGGCTCTTTCACCAGCAATCCCACTCCTGGACAAATATCCGGAAAAGATGAAAAGATACATGCAAATTCAAAAAGATACACGCACCCCAGTGTTCATAGCAGCACTATTTACAATAGCAAAGACGTGGACATAACCGAAATGTCCATCGACAGATGAATGGATAAAGAAGATGTGGTACACATATACAATGGAATATTAGCCATTAAAAAGAATGGAATAAGGTCGTTTGGAGCAACATGGATGGACCTAGAGATTATCACACTAAGTGAAGTAAGTCAGACAGAGAAAGATAACTATCATATGTCATTTATATGTGGAATCTAAAAAAATGATACAAATGAACTTATATATAAAATAGGAATAGACCCACAGACATAGAAAACAAACTTACGGTTACCAAAGGGGAAAAGGGTGGGGAGGGATAAATTAGGAGTTTGGGATTTAAATTAGGAGTTTGACAGTACTATATATAAAATAGGTAAACAACAGGAACCTACTGTATAGCACAGGGAACTATATTCAATATCTCGTAATAACCTATAATGGAAAAGAATCTGAAAAAGAACATATATATAGATATATATATATATGTTCATATATATATTCATTCATATATATCTATATATATATTCATTCATATATATATCTGTATATATATCTATATATATCTATCTGAATCGCTTTGCTGTACACCAGCAATTTACACAGCATTGTAAATCAGTTATGCCTCAATTTAAAAAAAAAAAGGTTGTTTCATGTTGGTCTAAAGCAGAGATGTTTTTAAAAACACGTTTATTAAAAAAAAGTTTAGTGAATGTACTGAACCACACACTTAAAAATGGTTAAGATGGTGAATTTTATGTTACGTGTATTTTCTCACAATGAAAAATGAAAAGTTTTTTTTAAAAGGGAAAAAAAAACTTACCGATCAAAGAGGAAGTTAGTTCAGTGAGAGGGTGGGTCAGCCCCAAGATAACTATGTGAAACAATAGAGAAAATGAGATACCCATTAGGAAAAAAACCGCCAGCCTATTAATCTTCTGAAACATGTCCCCAGAGCGGACTTTGATGCAGAAGCACATCAGTGTGTGTTTAGGTTTGATTTCAGATTTGTCTGGTGAATGTGGCAACAGGAAGGGGAGGAGAAGTGGGGGACAAGCATCAATCAGAGGTCTTCTCTGGGCCGGATGTTCCCTGTGTGTTCTCATTTAATCTTGCCAGTAATGCTGTGGGTTAGTGTTATTCTTCCCATTCTACCGGTGGGAATACTGAGTCTGAGAGCTATTCTAGAGACATATTTTGTCTACCTGGGCCTGGTGGAAACCTCTGATGCTTCCACCCGTCCTGTTTATCCACATGGGTCCCACTGATTTTCTTTTTTTTGAAGAAGAGTTGATTTACAATGTTGTGCCCATCTCTGCTGTACAGCGAAGTGACTCAGCTATACACATATAGACATTCTTTTTTTTTTATTATTCTTTTCCTTTATGGTTTATCCCAAGAGATTGCATATACAGTGGGACCTTGTTGTTTATCCACTCTAAATGTAATAGTTTGCATTTACCAACCCCAAACTCCCAGTCCATCCCTCTCCCTCCCCTACCTCCCCATCCCTCCACCCTTGGCAACCACAAGTCTGAGCTCTATGTCTGTGAGTCTGTTTCTGTTTTGTAGATAGGTTTTACATTAACTGAAAGTCAAGGGCAGCACGGTTCTTGCTTAGGTCATGTTGTTCCTACCCTTACCATCCTGCCAGGAAAACTCCACTGATGTGCTGGGCCTGCAGTAAGGTGGGTGACAGTGACACAACTCTGCTAACAAATGCTACCAGTCGTCAAGCATTCCTGTGGGCCAGGCACTGATCAGATACGAGACCAAAAGTAACAATTTAGTTAAGACCTTGGCCTTTCAAGTCAAGATAGACCTGCGTCTGGGTCCAAACTTTGGCTCTGCTACTTTCTAGCTGGGCAATCATCACAAAGATACCGAACGTATCCAGGCCTTAGTTTGCCACCTGTAGAAGAGGGGCAGTGCTAATCTCTTCCTAACAGGATTCTCAAGTGGATTAATGGCGGTTGAGCTATGGAAAGGGCTTAACAAGGTTGACACTGGAGCAAGCTGCCAGGAAGTGTAGCTCTCAGGAAATTATCAATCCTCCCAATAACTGTATGAGCTTACTATTATCCCTACTGTACAGATAAGGAAGCTGAGGCCTGAGAGGTTGTCACTTGCCCTAAGTCACATGACTAGGAAGTGGCCAGAGGCCTCAGATCTGCCCACCTGCAGCCACATCCAGGGAGTGGAAGGAGCTGGGAGCTCCCTGTTTGCTGTATATTCGGAAAACAGACACTTGTTCCTGACGCTGATAAGTTCGGGGGGGCCGCGGAATAGATGCCCGAGAGTTCACGGCCAGGAAGCCTGGATTTTCAGCAAAGCCACAGGAGGACCAGCTCTGTCCACCTGACCTGCTGCATTTTCCTTGGCTTTAGGAACTGAGCGATCAGACGGGTTCAGAGTTCGAGAACTCTGATGTCAGATGGGTTATCACAGTGCCTGCCATCTGGAAACAGCCCGCCAAGCAGTTCATGAGACAAGCTGCCTACCAGGTAAGTGCGGGGCTGGGGGCAGGCAGGGCCCAAGATACACCTGGCGGTGGCTGTCACTCCACTCCAGGGTCCCCCAGCATTCACAGGCCTCCTTGGGGAGGCAGCGAGGGGTCTCCCACAGGCGGGGGCCAGGAGCCTTCCCATTCCTCAGCTTCCTCCTCGGGGAGCAGCGGGGGTCAGACGGACAAGGGGAGGGGCTGGGCTCAGTTTTCCTTCTGACTTTATTCATTTCCAGGTCTTGTTGCCCCTGTAGGTTCCTTGGGGCTAGGATTGCAAACTGAGGTTCAGAGGTATTTCTCTGTGGGCAAATGGAAGTGAGACCCTCAAGGAAAAGGCTTGGGGAACAAGAATATTTGAACAAGGAAGAAATAAAGACAAGGCTGGTGGCCATGGACCAGGCCCATCAGCCTGGTGGAGGCCGAAAGCTGCACCTATGCGGCTGGGAAATAAAGGGAGTACGGTTGTCCTCTGCACGGTTCATCTTAGGAGCGACGGCAGGAGCACGGCATGTACGGGCGCCCCAGACAGGGGAGGGGGCTGCTGGACCTGCCTGGTGGAGGACGCCCACAGCGGGGTGAGGGCAGTGGTACAGTTAGGGAGCGAGCCAGTCAACATGGCGCCACGGAGCCAGAACATCCCAGCGTCGACGGCCAGCCCATCCCTCGTGGGTACAGCGGGCACCCCTGGTGCCAAAACCCCCGTGGCCTCCAGCCCTCACGTTGTTTGCGGACAACCTGTGCCACGACGGGGCTCCCATGAGTGTCTGACTTCGTGGCAAGAGTGGCAGAGGCCGTCCTGACCTGCTGTTCCGGTCCCGGGGACAGAGCTGGCCCCTGTTGTACGTAGTCCCCTGGGTTGATAAATGAAAGCCGACCCTGGGGCCTGGGTCAAGTCTGTGCTGAGAATCAGTTTTCAGAGCCTCCAGCCTGAGTGGGCTGGGGAAGATCACAAAGGTCGTAGATGTCCCCTTGTCCCCTGCCACACCTCTCAGGAGAGAGCCACCTTTCCCTGGAGACACACCTTTGATGTTGAGTTTGTGGCCACATGTATAAATATAAACCTTTCCTTTCAAAATGCCCATCTGATCAACGCTGATCTCTGCACACAGTCAAATGGCCCCAGGCACCTTGGCGTCATGAATTGTCCTGGACGCTTGAGGCTTTACTTCAGGCTGCAGGTAGAGTTCAAGGAAGGGCAGTGTTCCGCCCCCGCCCCGCCGCCCCCCCCCCCCCGTGCTCTCCCATTCCCTTCCTTCCCTTCCCTGCCCCAGGCTGGCTCCTCTGCTCTCCCCTTCCTCTGTTCAGCGTGAGAATCTGGCTCAGTCTTTGTGTTTGCCAAAAATAGATTTGTTTTTATAGGGATGAAGGGAGAAGGTGGAAGTTCCAGAAAGAGGCAACTTCTTTAAAAAGGAAGAGACACAAATGCAGTTTCACTGTCCATGGGAGCCCTGGGCATCAGAGCTTTTCCTTGGTGTCAGCCTTCAGGCAGTGTCCAGAGACCCAAAGATGGAACACCGGGACATGGCTGTCTGCTAAGACACAGCCTGGGATCCTGAGTTTTCCCAGGAAGGATACTCAAGAATCATGGTTCTGACTTTCATTTTCCAGCCCATGGGAAGACTTCAGCAACAAACACGTGACCCGGAAAGGGGACAGTTCTTAGTTTTAGCCTGAAAAAGAAAGAGGTGCGGTGACGTGTAGATTTGTCGGGGCTCCTGGAGCCCTGGGCCGGCTCTTCAAGGACTGTCTCTCTGAGAGGGTGGGGCCAGTGTGGGGAGAGGCCCCTTACACTGGGGAGGCCAAGGGGGAAACCAGGCTGAGGGGGGTGTGGCGTCCTCTAGGCTTTGGCACCTCAGGCAGTAGGAGGGCCAGCAGCTCCTGGGCAGGGCCCAGGTGGCCAGCATAGATGGAGGGGATGCGGGAATTTGCTTCCTGAGGCCCAGAGACACCCTGTGGATCGGCATGTCCTCTCCATGCCGGGTAACGTTTGTCCAGGACAGTGTCTGTGCAGCTTAATTTTGGGCCCTTTGTAGCTCTGCTTTGATACTTGTGTTCAGTTTACAGTCACTGGATGGATTCTAAGATGGCAGGTACCATTCATTCATTCTTTGTTCACTCGTTCATTTATTCATTGAACAGCCTGTGCCAGGGGCCTCCTGTGCCAGAACTGTGGTAGGCGCTCGAGTCGTAGGACAGGAGCCCTGCTCTCAAATCGCTTGCATCCAGGTGGTTCGTTGAAGCCATTTGTACTTCTGCCAAGGGGCAGGTGGCATATCAGGGGCACCCTCTTTAGCCCATCTTCTGGGAGAGTCTTCATGACAAGATGGAAATAGAGCTTGCTACTCTCCAAAATCAGCATCTCTCCAACTCTCCCTCCTCACCTGCCATTTATTATGCAGAGTAAGGAAGATGCATACCTGTGATGGTTACGCTTATGTGTCAACCTGACTGGGCCTAGGGATACCCAGATATTTGGTCAGACATCATTCTGAGTGTTGCTGTGAGTGTGTTTTAGGATGAGATGAACATTTAAATCAATTAAATAGAGCAGATTGCCCTCCGTAAGGTGGGTGGGTCTCATTCAATCAGTGGAAGGCCTGACTAGAACAAAAGGCTGAACCTTCCTAGATAAAATGAGAGGGAATTCCTCCTGTCTGCCTGCCTGCCTGCCTTCAGACTGGAGCATTGTTTTCCCCCTGCCTTTGGACTCCAAATGAAATATCGCCTCCTCCTGCGTCTTGAGCCTGCTGGCAAGGGAATTATACCATCGGCCCTCCTGGCTGTCCAGCTTGCCGGCTGAGGTCTTGGGATTTGACAGTCGCCATAATCACGTAAGCCAATTCCTTATAATAAAGCTCTTTCTACATATGCATACATCCTACTGGCTCTGTTTCTCTGGTAAATACAGAACCTGAGCAAAAAACACAGTTCTTGGCCCGCCCAGCTTCTGAAATCTGAGAGTGCCCACCAGCCCTTCCACCTGATGTGCTGCTGCCTGTCGGCCTGGCTTCTGACAGATGAACAGGAAGGATGAGGAAGGAGGTGGGATGGTTCTCCGTCAGAGCAGCTGGGAAACTCGCCTGTCCACCCTGCTTGCCTGTGGCAAGTGGAGCCCCTCCTTCCGGGCTCATGGGAGGCCTCCCGAGCCCAAGTTCATGGCACGGTCACATGGAGGCTGAAGGTCATCCTCCACCGGCCTGGGGGAGGGGGAAGAGGCCTGGACCAGAGCCAGGAGATGAATCTCTGGGCAGCATCTCCCGTGGAGAAGCAGGCCTGCAGGGGGTGGGCCTGGGGCCTGCACTTGGAGGACTGAGATTCACTGCCAGTGAGGGCTGCCCAGCACTTGACATGGGCACAGTTTCATCTGTGAAACTTCCAAAACTCCTCTTATGTCAAGTGATTGTTGAGAAAGTGGGTTAAGTCTCCATCTTTTATAATCCACAGCCTCGGGACAGCTTTAGACCCTTTAAGAACGTTCAGTGAAAAGATGGTGGCAGAAGGAACGGCTGATGCCTCTTCTGAGGCCCTCAGAAAAGACCCAGAATGAGGAGATAGTTCCACTGAATCCTGAGCACATGCATAGGAGGTAGTCCGGTGTATTTCTAGAGGCATTTTGCCTAAAATGTGTAACTCTGGTAGGTTCCAGAAACCTGTTAAATCAATGATGTTCCCCCACGTACGCTGATCTCCTCTAACACGGAGTTGCAGCTTGCATTTGCCTCCCTTTCTGAACAAACTGCAGTGAAAAGTAATCACATCAGGAAAGAAAGCCCAGCCCATGATGCTCAGAAGCCGCGCAGCTGCAGCTCTTTGCCGTCTGACACCAGGCCAGCTGAGTACTCCGCTGGGCCGGCCGTTTTTCTCAGCCGTGGACACAGCCCCTGGCGGATCTGCCTGGCTGACTGCAGGGCCAAGGAGCGGTGGTCGAGGTGGTCACTGCCCACGTCCTCGGCCTCCCTGGAGTGCGGTCTTCTCACCCACCCGCTCCTTTCAGGTGGAGCTTGTGACCAGGAAGCAGAGCGCTACAAACTACCACGATGGAGTTCCTGCTGGCCCAGATTCGTGAAGTCAAATGGGGTTGCAACCTCTTTGTTCAGACGCTTTCTGATTGCAGAATCCTCGGGTCGTGTTTGAAATGCTCTCCTGAGAAGGGCCGGAAATTGCAGAATAAAGGCTGGCTGGAGGGATGGGTGATTCGTTCCTGCGGCAGCTGCTCTCTGAGCACCTACTGTGTGCTCCGGGGCAAGAAGACCTGACTGCTGCCCTTAGAAGATGTACCATCTTGCAGGAGAGGCTAGACAGGTCCCCATGGATCTATAGTCGGGGGCAGAATATGCCAGGTGCTGGGCCGGGGGCCGAGCAGAGGGAGAGCTCACGTTGGAACGGAACAGTGGCCTTGAGATACCAGCTCCAGAGGCAGAATTATTGAAAGCGGAGAGAGAGCTCTCCTGCCCCGGTTGACCCTGGCCTGATCCCAGGGAAAGACCCCCAGGTCTCCTGCCAGCTGCCAGGCCAGAGGGCTTCTGCTGAGAAGGACGGCAAGTGTTTTCATGCGGAAACAAAGCTTACATTTCAGGGCACTGGATCCTTCTCTCAGAGATAAAGACATCTGGGTTTCTGAGAGTGTGGCAGAGACGTTCGCATTTCCTCCTTCTCTTGGAGCCCACCAGCAGCTCTGGGAAGCCTCCTGGTGACTGGGAATCTGTGCAGAGGCAGCTGCCTCCCTTTGCCTCCCCCTCCCCTCTCCCTGTGACGTCCATGAGAGTTTGCTGGTAGGGACACGGCCCCTCACTCTCACTGGGGAGTGGACAGGGGGGCTGGCTTAAGCAATGGAGTGTTGTTACTTTGTCCTGGGTCTCCCAGGCACTGCCGGGGCCCCCACTGACCTTGCCTTTCCCCTCCCCTCTGGTTTGGGGTCCTCTTCACCTTTGCTTCTGTCTGCATCCTGAGCAGGGTACTGTGGGGAAGCCCCCATGGAAATGGGTCAAAGCTTTGGCTGTGGAGCTGAGGCCAGCCCAGCTGGGGAGGGACGGGTGAAAGGCCCCCCGAGGGGTGCAGCCCACGCTGTTTGGGGTAGATTCAGGTCAGCCTGATTGTCTTTCACATCTTCAGGAGGTGGGAGCATCCGGTGTGTGTGTGGGGGGTGGTCTCAGTCACACACCAGGTACCCTCGGATGCCCTTGAGTGAAGAGCCTGGAGGAAAATGTAACATTTTCCTCCAGGCTCTTCACTCCTCTGGACCTCTTGATGTGATTTTCCACGTAGATATTTCACATATAAGTTAGAGACCCTGCTCAGAATTTCTGGGTAGGCATGGAGGAGAATAAGGGCGTCTATTTTCTGCTCTCCTTTGTCCCCTGCCGTCCCCATTCCCGCTGGGCCCAGGCCCCTGTTGCTCTTACCGGCCACATGGGAGCTGCCTGGCTGGTTGACATCCCAGTGGGACACAATGACAGGAATGTGCCTTTTGAGTGGGCAGAGCCCGTGCCTTTCCTCCACACCGAGTCCCGGGCACCACTCTGCTCTGCCCGCCCTAGCCTCCTCCAAGTTTATCCTCCACCCTGAACTTGTACATCCAGGGCCCACTGTTGCTTTGTAACGCGTCTCCTTCTCCCTCAGCCCATGTTGTGGGAGCTGGGCCTATGAGCTTCTGTTCTAGGAGGGCCTTGGCTTTACGTACAAACCCATGAGGATAGAAGAACCAGTCCACAAGCGCTGTTCTATAGACGGGGCTCCTCCTGGTGTTACTTTGGATTTCCTCTTCTGGGATCCTGGGGATAAAGGTTCAGAGGTTTCACTGTTCCTGGTGGCACCTGACACGTGTAACCCATGTCCTATTTCATCAGGCATCTTAACCTTTGTCTGCCTTTGTGCTGAGGGTGTCCGAGGAGACACTATGAGAAAGTGAGGCTGGGGGAGGGGGCACCTTCATTCCCTTGGATGGGGAAATCTTGTCGCTTATCTCTGTCACTAACCTATTGACCCATGTAAGCTAAGGGCAGACCTGGCCTCTGACCTGGGGACCCTGCTGATGAGCACAGATGCTGCCCATGTGGTCGGCCTTAGCCAAGGGTACAAGGCAGGAAGGAGGCGGGTTCCTGGCCGAGGGTGTAGGCGTGTGCGGTTCCATCTGTTTTTGTAATTCGGTCCAGACGGGTTCTGCCCTTGTGAGGCATTCATGGTTTCGGTTCGGTCCAGACAGGTTCTGCCCTTGTGGGGCATTCATGGTTTCGGTTCGGTCCAGACGGGTTCTGCCCTTGTGAGGCATTCATGGTTTCGGCAGAGTGGAGATTTTCAGTCACCTGCCGGCTGATGGTATCTCATTAAGACGTAATTAACTGGTTCGTTTGGGGTGTGGTTATTAGTGACAATGAATGACAGCAGGTCTAGGCAGTACTGTCGCAGAGTGAATGAGTAGAGAGCGTACCTTCAAACCAGTTCAGGACTATTAGGGGCGCCCGCGGGTTTTGTCAAAGTACAGCGGCCTGGGCCCTACCCCAGTACCTGGAATTACTAAGCGCAGGAGAGCTGAGAACCAGTTAAAAAGCTGGTCTGCAAGGCTCAAGACCTGGGCCCGGGCTGCTCTGCCACTTCGCTGGGATGCGCTGGAGCCTAAGCCTGGCCCGGTTTTAGCACTGAAAGGCCCGTGCCCCAGGAAACCGGGACAGTTGGTTGCCCTACCTCTCCGAGCCTTGGTTTCCTTCTTCATAGAGTGAAGGGCTTGGACGAAAGGCATTTCTAATTTCTAACCTGAGCTCCCCTCCCCTCCTTGCCCAGTAATTGACCCTCCTAAGCTCCTTCCACGCACGCCCGTGACTCTAGGCCAGCTCTTCCCCACCGGGTCATTGTACGTGTGTGACATTAGGCAGACCTTTGTCCCTGGTTGACGAGATGAGCCCACTAACCCCCCAGGGGCCTGGGGACACCTGGGAGCCTTCTCCAAAGGGGTACCACGTGAGGGCGCATCCCGGGTTTCCTCGGAAACGGCAGCAAAGTCAGCAAACAGCAGTGCTGATCGAAGGAGCTAGTTTTTATCTCCTATTGTGCTGGCGACCACGGAAAGCCGTGAGCTTGGGCGGCTTCAACAAGCAAGCTAGATCTCGTGCTCCAGGTCAAGGCCGTGAGAGGCCAGTCCGGGCTGTGTCTCTGAGTACCCTCAGAAGGCTGGTCCCGGAGCCTCCTGGCTGCCCTTCGTGAAGCCTGGAGGGGCTGTGACTGGAGCAAGCCAGGTGTCACGGGGCAGAAGCATTTCTGCTGTGAAAGGGGTAGAGGCTTTGAATAAGATAACTGTCAGTGGCCTTTCCCCCTGCGCTCTAGGAAATGGGGACTCTGTGGGATTCCACAGGGGGCTTTCTCCTGGAACCTTCCTGGTGCTCTGGAGATAACAGGTCAGATTCCCACACGACAGAATCAGACGCTTGCATAGCTGAGGCCCAGTGATGGCCTTTCTGTTTCCTAGGCCACCAAAGATCGGGGTTTGCTACGATCCGGTCAGACCATTTAGTCCTGGAACCGGAAACAGACCATCGGCCTTCCATCCAGTGGTGGTTTTCAAAGTTTTCGGTCCTTTGCCCCTTTGTGCTTCTCAGTTCTGGGCCAAGCAGGCCCCAAATGCAGGAGGCCCTGAGGCTCACAGAGCCTGGAATTTCCCAAGGGCGCTTGTACATTTTCGTTCCCCACTCTGTGACGTTTGGGTACCTGGCTTGGGGACCAGCACCCGATCACCCCCGATTTTAGGCTCTGGAGAGGCCTGTGGAGGGAATTTCCCAAACAAGCAGCTTGTGAGTGTCCCTTCCTTGCGGGGTGTCAGCCCAAGGCGTGGGTGTCCTTGGAGGGGTCCTGGCCAGGGAGCCTGGGTCCCAGCCTTGCCTTCTGTCTTCCAGGCAGGCCTGGCTTCCCCCGAGAACTCAGAGCAGCTCATCATTGCCTTGGAGCCTGAGGCGGCCTCCATCTACTGCCGGAAGCTGCGGTTGCACCAGATGATCGAGCTGAGCAGCAAGGCCGCGGTCAATGGGTACAGCGCCAGTGACACAGTAGGAGCTGGGTTTGCACAGGGTACCTCCTGCTCTCTCTCTCCCCCTCCCTGCTGTCTTCCCTCCAGCCCCCTGCATGTTTCTGTGCCTTGGAGTTTTAAAGGCACTCAGTGCGGTCGTGAGAAATCAAGATGCTTCTGAAGGAGGTTGGCCCTTAAGTACCTCTGTGCTCAGCCCCCTACCTGGCCCCTCCAAGGACTCCCGTAAACTCAGCAGTGGTTACCCTAGTTCGTCACCCACCCAAGTGCCTTAGGGGAGAGCACTTCTCTCCAAGAACCCAAGGGTGGCCTGAGAGCGGCTCTCGGCCTTGCATTTTACTGGGCGTTTACTCTCTCCTCTCTATTAACTGATTCTTAATCTAATCCCACTTGCTTGTTATTAATTCCTCCGTTAAGATTGTTGATTTATTGCTGACTCACTCACTGGGGCCGCTTCGTGTGTGATGAGCTCATTATGTGTCTTAACTATAAACCTGGCGAGAGTTGAAGCTAGAGATGGAAAGGGCTGACTCGTCCTGAGGGGCTGATGCTCGTTTAGCTGTGGGAAGGAGCATCGCCCATGGAGACCCGGGATGGGCATTTTAAGGGCCTTCTTCTCTTTAATGTTTACTATATGCAAGTTGCTCACAATCTTATGCCTCAGGACTGTTTTCCCTGGAATGCAGGGTTCCGTCGGTCTGTCCAGGACCACGGAGTCTGCAGACACCCTGGATCACTCACAGCCACGTGAGTGAGCATGGAAGCTGATGGGCGCTGGGGAGGTGGCGCTGTGCGCCCCAGCTCTGAGCTCTGTGCCCGGGTGAGGGCTCCGAGGACAGAAAACCCCCCATCGCCCAAGCCCGTCTCCATCCTGCCCTGCAAGGCCCAGGCCCAGGAGGAGAGGGATGCCATCAGTGAGGACGGTCACCAGTTGGTCCCAAGCTTTCCTTGGTCCTCTTCCCAACGCCTGTCTCTGCACTGCCCGGGGTGCTGGGGCCCAGGCTCACGCTTCGCAGGCACACATTCCTGCCCAGACAGGCCTCTCTTCCTCTTCACAGGGTGACTCTGCCCCGGCAGCCACTGCTCTTCATTTTGAACCCAGGGTGGAGGCGTCTGTGAGCCTCAGCCCCGAGACAGTGGCAAGAAGTTCGCTTGTCCCCAGGCTGCTGCCTCAGCCTGCTGGGGCCACGTGTTCGCACCCTGGATCTGATTCACCCAGAATGAATGGACACGGGCTTCCCCTCAAGCGTGAGGGCTTGATTTGCCTTTTCCTCACAATGCTTGGCCTCCCCGTCGTGCCAAGGCTGGCCTCACCACTAACTAAATCCAGTGCATTCATGTTTTAAATACTCAGGATGATCTCGTTATTTACATTTCCTTCTTCATTGTTGTAACTGGAAAAAAGAGGAGTGACTGACTGGGCTCTATATTTCATATGCTGGTTCTTTCGCAATTGTTCACAAACAGCAGCTCATGTCAGAATTAGCTAATTCAACACGGCATTGACACTTCTTAAGTATAACGTTCACATTTGAGGGGGGAATTGTTTTGAACGCTTGCCTTCCCCAAGAGCTCAGTTTTTGGTTCCCTTTCTTTACCATATCCTACCTGCCTTCACACTGCTGTGTCTGTGTCCTGTGCCTTGTGGGATTTACTGTTGTTTCCTGTGCTCAGAGAGGTGTCTTTGGTTTTTGAAATCCTCAAATTGTTGGCCACCATCCCTCAGAGGGGCAGTGAGACAGGGGTTCTATCTCAGCGTTGCTTTACGGTGGGAAGCTGTCTCCCGGAAGGACGGGGTGCTTGCTATGTGCCGAGGCCCGGCAGAGCACTTAATCTGGGATACCCAGGATGGCATTAATACCCTGAGACCCCCTGGCTGTTTTCTGCCCTCCGATGCTCCTCCCTGATGGACTCCCAGTGGTCACCACTGAGGAGACCAGAGCTGGCACTCTGCCTCCAGCACTGCAGGGTTTGCTGTCGGTATTATTTTACTCCAAAAAGACTTAACGAGATTAGAAAAGGCTACATTTTTCTCAATCTTGGGCTTAATTTGCCCGAAAAATGAGATAATTTTTTGAAGCTTAGAACATGTTTTATTAGCCTCACTAGGCCGTTTATTATGAATGCCATTTCCTTAGTCATCTAGATTGTTTTAGAAAACCAGTCCCCACTACGAGGTGTGCAGTATAAGTTCATCTGGAGCCCGTGTTGGGAGCAGCAGAGAAGCCCTGAGTTTGGAGATCCCTCCCAGGCCCGCGGGAACTCTTTAATTGGGGGGGGGGGGGGGGGGGGCGGCCTCTCTGCTGTAAACCAGAGCCTGAGGAACTTAAGGCTGGCCCGATGTTTGCCATTCTAATCCCCAGAGAAGATGTTTTGCAAACACTGGGCTCCTTGCTGAAGGAGGCTGGAGGGTCAAGGGTTCTTTATTGGATAACCAGCAACAGATGGATTTGTAGGGCTTAGGGACTAAAAAAATTGGTCGGGAGGACACTTGTGGGATGGGACAGCAGAGTGGTGGACAGAGCCTTCGTCTGTAAAGCCAGGATTGCTCTAAACTGTTCATTGTAGTGATCATTTGTTGGGTTCCCAGTCTCACACTTGGTGCTTTGCCTTCCTTATCACTTGCTGTGTGCCTGGTGTCACAGTGGGTGCTGAGGATAAATCAGACGCTGGTCCCTGCTCTGCCTGTGAGAGACGTTAAGTGATTTGCCCAGATTCCCATCGTGCCTGTGCTCTGCTGCTTCCCAGGCTCCCTCTCACAGCACCTTTCTCACCTCTTAACATTCGTATTCTGCTCTTTCAGACTTCACTCTAAATTGTTAAATCTCAAAGGCAGAGGGGGTCCGTGGCCTGAGGGTTAATTTCAGGCTGCAAGACAGAGTCGTGGGAACTGCAAGTCCCTTGACCTCCCTGACCTGGTTTCCTCGTCTGAACACAGGGCGATATGATTTGTGCCTGTCCGCCTCACGGGGCTGTCAGGAGGCCTGCGGGGCAAGAAATACCCATGCGAGTCACAGCCCCTGAGTACCCCGAGCCACCTCCAGGTTGTCCCGCGGTGTGCAGGAAAAAGGCAGCGCCGACTTTTCTAGGTTCAGCCGCGCCACCTTGCGGCTGAAGCGCCACCTTGTGGCTGAAGAGCATGTCGACTTCAACGGGGTCTGGAAAGGGCTCCTGGCCGTTTATCCAGGATCCAGATTAGGAAAACATACCCCGCATTCCTTCTATCAGACAAAGCTGCTTGATGTGAAATTATTTAGCCAAGCGCACTGAAGGCTGCTTGGCAGACAGCCTCCTCACTGGGGCAGCAAAGCCAGGAAATTGGCCTATTTTATGCGCATTCCCCTGAAAGTGTCCCTGGAGGAAGGGAATCTCATCAGGGTGAGCTTTTCAGCAGGGCATTGGCCAGAGCTGCCAGGCAGATGAATAGATGAAGGCTGGTGGAAATAGCTACTTGCTCTGGAAGAGCTGACTCTGTCATTCCCTATGTTGCATTTATGTAATCGTTTTGATCAAGTATCGCCAAATGTTCTGTTGCTAAACCCCCCAGGCTCTTTTACCTCCACTGACTGCCAGCTTTTTCATGTTTTCTTACCCGTCGTTGTTTTCTTTCTGTTGGCCACTAGCCAAGGAACACACACGACGTAATCGGCAGAGTCGAACCTTTTTGGTGGAGAATGTCATAGGAGAAATCTGGTCCGAGCTGGAGGAAGGTAGCATCCTTAAACGTCCTTTGCCCCTGCTGTATTGTGTGTGTGTGTGTGGGGGGGGGGCTGCTGGCAAAAATGCATTTCTATTTGTTCCTTTTGTACTTTTGGAAAATGTTCCAGATCAGTTGGTTTTACAGACCACTCACCCAGGGAGAGCTCTTTTTGGAGCTGTAATTTTGCATGTTCTAAAACCATATAGGTTCTTCAGAAGAAAAGTAGGAATTGGAACTCACCAGTTCCAGAGTGAGTCTTGTGCTAAACAGCAGGTCATTTGATGGTGCTATTAACTTGGCAGGAAGTGGTCCACACGTGTCAGGTATGCAGCAGCGCATGACCTGAATGCTTTAGTCCTAAAGGTTCACTCATCTGGGTTCATCATCCATGCTAACCGGCACTTCTGGGCAGACACTATCTCATCTCTTTAGTCATGAATAACTCACTGTGTGGCTAATTAGCAAAACTATTGTACTAATGAGTGTTGATGGTGCTTAGCTGGGTGCACCAAGTCATCCTGCCAGCTTGTTCCAGGACGTGATGGACAAGTGGTCTGTATAAAGGTTGGCTGTTTTTGTACCAGGTGACAAGTATGTGGTAGTGGACAGTGGCGGTGGCACCGTAGACCTGACAGTCCACCAGATACGGTTACCGGAGGGACACCTTAAAGAACTGTACAAAGCAACAGGTAAGCCTGAGAAAATGAGAAAAATGGCTAATTTTCTCATACCTGAGCTGTTTTACCCATTTCAGATTTCTCTCAGTATCTCCTTCTTTCAGTGCCATCAGCATGTGAAATTACAGGCAGTAGAGGATACGGATGCATGAGACCAGAGAGCAAAATGCAGTTAAATAGGGCTTCCCTGGTGGTGCGGTGGTTGAGAGTCCGCCTGCCGAGGCAGGGGACACGGGTTTGTGCCCCGGTCCGGGAGGATCCCACATGCCACGGAGCGGCTGGGCCCATGAGCCATGGCTGCTGAGCCTGTGCGTGCGGAACCTGTGCTCCGCAGCGGGAGAGGCCACAACAGTGAGAGGCCCGCGTACTGCAAAAAAAAAAAAAAAAAATTGCAGTTAAATGGCCTTTAAAACACAAACCACCATAACTTGGGTTTGGGCATAAAGTGAGCCTGTTTCAGATCCTGGCCACAATCGTCACCTGTGATTTGGTTAAGCTTTCTAGGGAGGTCCCACGATGCCTGGTCTTGATTCAAGATCATCAAACCAAAGAACGTTCTCTTCTTCTTGGTGGGGTGGGGATGAGTAATTAGTAGATCACAGGGACTAAGTGAGGTCTGCTGGTTTTCCAGACACTGTCCTTGGATTTCTTGGGTGGGAAGACCATGATGCCCCTAGTTAGTTAAATGTATTGATTTTATTTAAAATGTAATTGATTTTAAACAGATTGTTGACGAGTGATTTCTGTAGGAAAGTTTCTCCACGTGGAATGAGAAGAACCTAAGGGTTTTAAAGTGTAAGTAAAAACGCATAGCTGCGGTCTGCTGGCTAAGTGGGTCCAAGGCTGTGCTGCTGTCATTGAGCAGAGCCCGGAACCCAGGGCAGGCTGCTTCTCAGACTCCGGCTTCCATTTCTGGCCGTCTTTAATATAGTGGGGTCTCTCTTTGTGTTCTTGACTCAGGTGGACCCTACGGATCTTTAGGAGTAGATTATGAATTTGAAAAGCTTCTGTGTAAAATATTCGGAGAGGATTTTATCGAGCAATTCAAAATCAAGCGTCCTGCGGCCTGGGTTGACTTAATGATTGCATTCGAGTCTCGCAAAAGGGCAGCTGCCCCGGACCGAACTAACCCTCTGAATATCACCCTGCCCTTTTCCTTCATTGACTACTACAAGAAGTTCCGTGGGCACAGCGTGGAGCACGCCTTGAGGAAGAGCAAGTGAGCTGGGCTCATGTTTGGCTCGGGACAGTCTGGGGGGTAGAATGTGTTCGTGGGGAGGAGGAAGGTGGTGTGGACTCTGAGTTCCAGTCCGACACACTTGCTGTGTGACCTTGGGCAAGTGACTCAACTTTTTTGTTCCTTGGTTTTTTCACCTGGAAAATGGGCATGATAATTGCACTTACCTCAAAGGGTTGTTGTGAGGATGAAATGTATTCATATATGCTTAGCACAATGCCTGAGACCCGGAAAATACTACCTCTGTGTCAGCTATGATTACGCGCTAAAAAGATAAGCTGTGTGAAATCAGGGAAGTTTGTCTGGGGCCCCAGTGTCTACAACAGGACCTGATGCATGGGTAGTAGGTGCTCGGCAAATATTTGTTGAATAATTTATCACCCTGCCTTCTGCACTAGACTTTGGCTTCCACTGTCTCAGGGGAATGTTGGCCACAGGCAAAAGCAAAGAGAAACAAAAGAGGTTATGCCTTAGCTTTGAAGCTTCTAAGAGTCTAGGTCCTGGTGGTTTAGTGTATTTCTAAGGGTTTTTTGGACTTTCAAGCCCGCTTCAGCCCCCTCGGATGTGACAACCATTCTACCAGGGCCCGTGACTATGCAGGTTAGCCCAGGTATCCTTTATACACTCACCGCTCGTTCTCTCTCTGCCATGCCTCCACAGTGTGGATTTTGTGAAGTGGTCCTCGCAGGGGATGCTGAGGATGAGTCCAGATGCCATGAATGCCCTTTTTAAGCCGACCATTGATAGCATCATTGAGCATCTCCGTAAGTGATCAGCCAGGGCTCGGCCACTCAGTGGCCAAGAATGGGGACTGATGTTTCCAATATCACCAACCAGTGTATGTGAAGTCAGGATGGCAGGGGGTCTGGGTCTTGGAGCCGCAGGCCAGGGCCCTGGCAGGAGTGGGCAGGGCCTGGGCATGCATGAGGGCGGTTGCTGGGCACTGGCTGTGGATCCCTCACCTCAGGTACTGCAAAGCAGCCCAGAGCCTGTTCTCACTTGGGCTTCCATTTGGCTTCAAAAGTCAGAGAGGCGGGAGACCTAAAGCGATATTATCATCGAGTGACAGGCCTTAGGGAATGGATGGTCTTTGCTGTATCAGAACAAATTAGAAATCACAACCTCTGCTAGGGAGGAGGAACTGTTGTGTAAACCAAAGAAAGGTCTCCCACAAGAGAGCAAACGGAATCTGGCCGTGCACTTAACCTGCTCCCTCAGGGGCCCTCGCCCAGGGACAAACAGTAGGCTCACCAGGGGCCTCTTTCAGTGTCCAGGCCCTCCACACACTTCCCACCCTGCACCTACACAGTCAGAACTCCTAGAGGTGGGATGGGAATTTTATGAAAACCAAAGAATAATATTGATAACAGCCTGCCTTAACAGAGCCGCAGGTTTGGAGAGGGCAAGGGGTATTCATTTATGTGTAACAAAGAACTACGTAAACTGATCACTGTCTAGCTGTTAAAATAAGTTTCTGCTTAGCAGTAGCTTTGGTTTTTATTCCTGAACATATTGATGTACAAACCCCTCCTTTCTTTAAAAGATTGGCTCTACAAAAATATTCCGTTCAACAAGGTCAGACTAAGCCTGTCCTCCAGCTGGCCCAAGCGGCTTTGTCCATTCTCCACATTCTCAGGCCACCCAATCCCCCCCTGGCTTTTGGTGACAGGTCTCTGTCCATTACTCTTCCCTTTCAGGAGACCTGTTTCAGAAGCCGGAAGTGTCCACGGTCAAGTTCCTCTTCCTGGTGGGCGGCTTCGCCGAGGCGCCCCTCCTGCAGCAGGCGGTGCAGGCTGCCTTCGGCGACCAGTGCCGTATCATCATCCCCCAGGACGTGGGCCTCACCATCCTCAAGGGCGCCGTCCTCTTCGGCCTGGACCCCACTGTCATCAAGGTGCGCCGGTCCCCGCTCACCTACGGGGTTGGGGTGCTGAACCGCTACGTGGAGGGCAAGCACCCGCCCGAGAAGCTGCTGGTGAAGGACGGCACTCGCTGGTGCACTGACGTCTTCGACAAGTTCATCTCCGCTGACCAGTCCGTGGCCCTGGGCGAGCTGGTCAAGCGCAGCTACACCCCGGCCAAGCCCTCCCAGCTGGTCATTGTCATCAACATCTATAGCTCTGAGCTCGACAACGTGAGCTTCATCACCGACCCCGGGGTGAAGAAGTGCGGCACGCTGCGCCTCGATCTCACGGGGACCAGCGGCACTGCCGTGCCCACCCGCAGGGAGATCCAGACGCTCATGCAGTTCGGGGACACTGAGATCAAGGCCACGGCCGTGGATGTAGCCACTTCCAAGAGCGTCAAGGTTGGGATCGACTTCTTAAATTACTAACTGGCCCTCCCCGCCGCCTGTCCCCCTGGGCTCAGCTCACCTGCATCTGCTGACCTCAACCCTGACTGTTCTTTCCCTGCCCTTGACCCTAGCCATCACCCGTCTGAATTTCAGCAGGGAAGATGAGAACAGCCAGGGCTAGAAATAATTAGGGATTTTTGAGGGCACACTGGAGTCAGAAAAACCGTTGGCAGTGAAGATGGAGGTGGGGAAATAAGGAATTTGAGGATCCCAGAAAAGCAGCTAGTGTTCATAGGTACGAAGTGGTGAAACCCCCACCCCCACCCCCCGCCGCCCCACAAGGGAATCAGTACATTTCTGCAGCAGTGATCGGGCTTGGGTCGAAGAGATCTCCCTTATGGAGAACTTAGGATGCCCTGTCGTGATCCTTCCAGATTTGAAATAAGATCTTTGAGCCAGGAGGAGATTCTTCATCTCTCTTGAGACTTTTCTTTTTTACATGTTTTGGATGGCAGTCGCTTATAAAATGCCATCCATCTGCAGTTAATTTCTTTTCATCATGGTGTGATTAAAAGTGATGATTCACCGGGAACTTGGAGGGTTTTTAGCTGGTGGGAGAAGACTGCCTACACTGGGCGCTATTTTAGGTTCTCATAATTTAAATTCCAGAAAGGGTTAGTGAAGAATAACTGTAGCTTCAGCTAATCCACTAGGATTTGTGAGTGGGAGAGCTGACACCTCGACTTTTCAGCAGGTAAAAATTTGCTTCGAGGCAAATGGATATTGAGCTAGTGACATATCCCAAATTATATGCTGTGATAGAACTCCCCAAAGGCCAAATCCTGATTTCTGAATTCATAAGTAATCTGCATTAACCTTCGTAGGATTCTGTGTGAGAAAATGAAGTTGCAGGTTGCCTCCTTCACATCACCAAGCCCGGGAGTCCGGAACAGCCCCTCCCCTTGACAGGCACACGTATCTTAAACTAACTCCCTCCTCCCTGCTTGCCCTCATCTCCCTAAGAGATCTGGCCATTTATTTCCACATTTTGAAAAGAATACATTGGTGATACCTGGGCAGAGAATCTGTTTAACAAAATGTTTCATTTAAAATCTTCAGTTTTAAAACTAGAACTGAAGATTCTATCTAAAGGCATTCAGAGATCTGTACTTAGTGAATGAAGCTGGGTTTTTTCAAAGCAGATCTGTGGATCTCCCGCGCAAGAACTGCCTGGGCGCTTCTGAAATACAGGTTCCTGGATTCTGTCCCTTTTATGAACTCAAGTCTTGGAGAGGGGAACCAGAATCTGCAATTTTTAGTAAATGCCACAGGGGACTGTGGTTCAGTTGGAATTTGAAAACTCCTATCTTTAGGGTTTTGGAAAGCTGGGGCCCAGACCAGAGCCTGCAGCTTCCAGTTGGGTTCCCTTAGGGAGTGAGTCTGCAAGTGAAGAACCACAATCCCACACGTTGCCCTCTCGTGAGTGGGGCTGGAGCTCCAGCTGGCTTGGGGAGGGCGCTTTTAACCTTCTTGTGAGTGGGGCTGGAGCTCCAGCTGGCTCGGGGAGGGCGCTTTTAACCTTCACAGGAAGGGCCCGGGGAGGAAAAAGATTGGAAGAAAGGCAGCCTCAGAATGGGGCTGAGGAACCAACGGGTGTGTGTGTCCGCTCTCCATCCTTCCCCACTTGCAAAGCCAGTCTTCAACATTCAGGAGCCAACTGAGGAAAAGCATCAAGAACCTGACTCAGCCCCTGTGATCTGTTCAAAGCTGTCTTTTCCACCTGCTGGAGTTAACTCGATTTTAAATCACCAGAGGCATGCATAACGAATGAGGGGAGGGTGGATGACTCAGCCACTAACTTTGAATACTTGGATTCACAAACCCATTATCATATGCAGATTTTAAGTAGCATTTCCAACTTCATTCTAAGTGTCTTCTTTTTCCCATCGCTTGCTGCAGAATTCCCTACTAGAACCTGAAACACTAACAAACCCAGAACTAGAGGATGCTGGTCACATACTTAGTAGCGGGGTTTCACATCGAGACACAGATGTGGCTCTAGGGTTCTCTCGCTGCCTACTCGGCTTCAAAAGCTAAATGTTATGGGTCTTTCTTTGGTGTTGCCAGCCATACTCTACAAACAAGACTTTTCCATTCAGTTATAAGTAATATAATTTTATGTACATATAATATTAGAAAATTGTACAGAATCTTGATTTCTACAATGCGCTCTTGTTAAAAAAAAAAGGGAAAATGCTCTTTGAATTTTGTTGATGACATTGCTGCCTTTAAGTTTCCATGGTTTCATTTCTTAATTGTGCTTACTAGACATTGATTTGTACTGATGCTAAGCTATGGACTGTGTGCGCAGACTGAGCAACAGACAGAGGTGCCTAGGGTCAGAATCCTCTACGAAATAGACCGGCTGGATTGACAGCTCCATCAGACCTTTCTACATACACATCCTTCCCAAAGGTTCACAGTTTATATTTAAAGGTGCATAATAATGTATCGATTCTCCTGAACTGTCTTTGAGAGCTGAACGTTCTGGTTCTGTAAGCCATGTGACTGTGCAGAAAAACCTCCGAAAACTCTGTGTCCCTGCAGGGTTGTCAGCGTCTCCTTGTGGGGCGAAGCAGTCACTCTGAAGGCAAAGTGTGATGTTTTCAGGACACCAGCATCAAGGGGAGGAATCAGGTGGTACACAAATCCAGCTTTTCTACTGGATTAAGTGTAAGTGTGAGTAACAGAGTCAAGTCCTTTTCTTGGCTAATGTAAGGCCTTTCCCATCTTGCATTAAGGATGTCTCCTTGTCTATTTCTCTTAAATGAAACGGTTGAAATTTGCAATGTTGGCAAAAAGATGATGGAGAGGGGGTGATGATTTTACTGGATTTTCTTCTGCTCCAGAGATGCAGCCCTGATAGTCAGACTCTTAGAGGGAATCCTCAAATCCACCCCTTCTCCCCTTCCCCCCCACAGAAATATTCTAGAGTAAGAACACTGGATAGGTACATGTGGACACATTTTCTAATCTTAGAAAGTTTCTAAAAGGCCCGTTGTCTTAACACATCACTCAGTTGTCCCTGGCGTATTATCTGAGGTTCAGGTTTCTTGGAAGCAGAACTGTCAAAGGGTTTCCTTTGTAACTTCCCTTTCTGTACACAGCAGGCATTAATAAATGTTGAATGTCAGACAAGAATGTCACATGGACAAGAGAGGAAAGAGGAAACATACAAGCGTTTCTGCAGACCGATGGCTAAGATGAATCCAGATTGCAGAGCCTGCCCTACCCCTAGAATGTTATTTAGATCAAGTTTAGCTTTTAGAGTCCAGGTCTGGTTAATTGCCAGGGTGGCAAAGAATCGCATGCACCTATATAAACAGGAGTCAAAATGCATTATTAGCTGAAGATCGAATCACACATTGTAGAGATGAAATAGCTGTGATTAAGCTGCGTATTTATGCTGGGAAATGGCTGAAGTGGGTGACTAGTATAAAAGTTGTTGGCCATAACATCGTATCTCTTATCGGCTTGGAATATGGAAATATATTCTAAAATAACAGCCACTGGGGTCTTGTTCACTATAAATTCGAACTTCACAGAACGTGGCAGCAATTCACAATCTGACTGTATCTGCAAACTGTCTTCACAGATGTCTAATAAAGCAAAACTCTGGATCTCATGTGGCCCAGACTTCTTTTGTGCACTCTGAATTTGTAAATGGAATTATAGATACATTACTGACTTTCCCCTCTGCCCCATCTCAGATGGAAATTGATTTTCAGGTCTTTTCCTAGGTGTTGCAAGCTTTATTAACTTTCATTCCAATAAGACTGGCTCCTCTGTTCACTGGGAACCAAGCCTCCATGGACATCCACGAACCCCTTTTCCCTTGAAGCCAAAGAAAGCAGCCTTGCCAGAGAGAAGGCAGATAAGCCACAGTGACAACGGACAACTCCACTGCACCCAAATGAAGGTCATTAAAAAAAAAAAAGCAGAAGGCCAAGGACTGATGCCTTGTCCTCTGGTATCCTAGCAGGCACAACTGGCTGGCCGCTGCATCTAGGGCCTTGGGTTTATTCCAGGCTCTACGTCTGGGTCACCCTCCAGAGTTGGCTCTAGGAGTTTCTGGATAGTCTGAGGCGGGCCCCAGGACCTCGAGGGAGGTATAAATGGGTTCTTCCTAAGTGGGTAGCTACACCAGCTTTCATCTGAAGTTTAGTTCCCATGAGGAGAGGTCGGGAAGGCCAGGATGTACCGTCAAACAAACGTGTATTGCAAAGTAGAGCCAGCAGGCAGTGTGGCTGCCGTTTCCTCATCTGTAGGGAGCGGCTGGGACTAGCCGTCTGTAAAGGCCACTCAATCCCTGGATCTGGGTCACATGGTGGGCATCTTGGTTTTGTCGACTTAAAAGAAGTGCACAACGTGAGAGTTGAGAGCTAAGTTTCACTTGGGACAAAATGAGGGCTATAGCCCGGGAGACAGCATAGTTTCAGATAGTTCTGAGAAACTGCTCTGAAGAGGTGGGGGGGGGGGAGTCAGTATATATGTGATTCTGGTGAAGAGGGAGTACATGCAATCAGGCACATATTTTTTGCAGGTTTCTGCTAGTCATGAGGAGCGGACGTCACCATGAAGGATTTTAGTGCTTTTCTAAATACGAGGAGATGCAAGAATTAGGCTCATAAAATAAAATCGGCTCCTGAAAATATCTAACTCTCTGAAGACCTGTTGGGCCAGTTCTTCCCAGAGCACAGAGGGCCTCTTTTCTGCTCTCCACCCTGAACTCCTTTCAGGGGGTGTTGAAAGTCAGCAACTTCAGCAGCTCCTGAATTAATCCTTGTGGATGGCAAGTGCCCATGGCAAGTGTCAATTTGTAGTTGACAGTTTCAGTCCACTGAGATGAAGGCTCATCTCCCATAAGGTGAGGACGGTTAGGAGTACGGCTCCACCTTCCCGGCATCCTTCATTTTGGTGCTTTGTCCCTCTCTGCCCGGCTACCTGTCCTGGCCATCTGGAGATTCTCCTAGTAAGAGACACGAGGCTAGGAGGACAGGGGTGTGAGAAGCCCAGGGGAAGCCGTCTGGGACACAGGCCTCTGCTTCCCTCCCAGGCTGCTTCCCCCGCCCCTGCCAAGGCCTGTTCCCGCCAATCCTCTCCCCCCAGCCCAGGCCTCCCCAGTGTCTACATCAGAAAAGGCGGCTTTGACCTGGATCCCTTCGTGTACCCCTCCCCACAATTTCCAAACCCAGAGCGGCCTCGCCTGGGTGAGACCGTGTATTCAGAACGGAGAACAGCTTCGGAGGCAAAATATTTTCCGGGCAAACCCCTGCATCTCACCCCATAGACCGACGCTGAGCGAGTTCACTCGGGTTCACCAGTCGCCTCTGGCTCCCGGGCCCGGACTTCTCCAGGAGGCCAAAGGGTGATGAAGGCGGGAGGGGCGGGCCCTAGGACCCCGAGGGAGGCATAAATGGTCCGACTCCCCCCCCCCCCCCCCCGCGGTCGAGGTGAGCTCAGAAAGGCCGGGAGCCCTGGTGGAGGCCGGGCCAGGGCAGGAGGTCTGGCGGGGCCAGGATCCAGGCCAGCCCAGGTGAGGACGGGGCCGGGCGGGGGGAGGGGGCGTGTCCACGCTTTCTGACCCGCTCCCCGGCCATACCCCCAGCACACCCCCTTTCTGCGCTCTTCCCTTCAGCCTCCTCCAGGCAGGCCTCTGGGCTGGGTCTGCGGCTGCGCAGCCGGCCACGCACCCGCGGCACACTTCTGGGCAACATAATCCTGCCCCCAGAGTGTAGACGTCTTTCGGTCACACCTCCTTGGACACAGGGACCTTCAGACAAGTTACTTAACTTCTCTGTGCCTTATTTTTCCATCTGTAAAATAGGGACTCAGGTAGGAACTAACCCTTAGGGCGGCCGTTAGCGTTTCACAGGAATACAGTCCTGTCTTCAGCCGTGTTGTAGCAGGTGTTCTTCAAATGTCTGAACTGTTTAAAAAATTTCCATCACTGCTGAGTAAACCTTGCCTGAGGCCCTCCCCTCCACCCCTGAGGCCACTTGTCCTGGCCACAAGGGCATGACTTTTGAGAGAGGAACTGGCTTGGTAGGGTAGGACTTGGAAGCATCAACAGATGCCAGATGCAGGACCTGGTCCATTTGGGGGCACCACAGGCCATCCCAGAAGGGAGAAGGGGTCTGGCTCGGGAGACAGCATCCACGTAAACTGGCCCTGTTCGGTCCGCCCCCCCCCCCCCCCGCCCCATCGTGGACTCCATGCCAGCCTTTGCAACTTCTGATCCTTTCCAGCCACAGTTTACTCTAATTCTTTGCTATGTCCTGTACATTGCATGTTTAACAGCATCCTTGGCGAATTGTGGTGCTTTCTCTCTGTCCTAATCCCCGGGCAAGGTTATTGACGCCCAAGGGCTCTAGCACATGCGCAGTGAGTTCTCCAGGCAAGGACTTCCCTTCATTAACAGAGAGCAAAATCATGGGGTCTTCCAAGACCTTCATGAGACACCTGCCAATCACACCAGGCTACAGTGGTAAGTGGTGATGTGCCCTGCAGGGGGACCATGGTCCTGATTGTTGTCCCTGCCTTGCCCCCCTGTCCATGTCCGACCGGCTTGTTGGACCAGTACAGGCACTTTAGCTTTAAAGAAATTTGCTGAAAGTGTTTCATTGCTGAAGATGGCAGATAACTGGGTTCTGATAAGTGGGGAGATATAATCTAGGCAGATCTCCCAGGACATGGCCTGGTATGTAAGAAGCGCATAATTAATGTCTGTTATATACATTTGGACCAGGATAGACACAATGCATAAGCTGAGGCTCTGTCCTTCTTCCCAAGTTGTGCTGTTCTCATGAACTAGGGCTGTCCTTATGGTCCCATTTCTTCCTGTGTCCCCTAGAGGGACGGTGACCAACTTTTTTGGTTTGCCGGGAATGGTCCCAGTTTTAGCACTAAAAGTCCTGCATCCCAGGAAACCCCTCAGTTGTTGGCAAACCAGGACAACTGGTCACCCTACCTAAAGGCTTTTCCTCCTCAGGCTTCCGAGAATTTACTAAGTCACATCCCTGTGGGTAACAAACCTGGTGGTCCCCATAGGCCCTCTGCTCTCACATATAGGTATTCTCGGTGGGGAGAGGCATGGAGAATATTCCAAGGTTGCCCATCCTCACCCTGGTCCTACTGGTTGGTTAAGAGAATAGGCTTTGGATTCTAATAAACTGAGATGCCAATCTCTCCCTGGCCATTATCTATGTGATTGTAAGTAAGTTACTTACCTCTCTATGGTAAGTAGAAAGTTCTATTAAATGGTTGTATTAGTTTCCTAGGACTGCTGTGTAAAACAACAGATGTCTATTCTTTCACAGTTCTAGAGGCCCAGAGTCTGAAATCAAGATGTTGGCAGGGCCGTGCTCTCTCTGATGGCCCCTGGTGTCCTTGGTTTGTGGCAGCATCACTCCGGTCTCTGTCCCCATCTTCACATGGCTCTTCATGTGGCCTTCTGCTCAGTGTCTCTGTGTCTGTGTGTCTCAAACCTCCCTCTCCTTTTTCTTATGAGGACACCAGGCACTGGATTTGGAGCCCATCCTAAATCCATGATGATCTCATTTCCAAATCCTTAGTTACGTCTGCAAAGACCCTATTTCCAGATAAGTTCACATTCACAGGTACCAGGGGTTAGGACTTGGATAGGTCTATCAATTCAACCCATTACATGGGGTAGGGATAGATTCCTCATAAGACTGTTGTGAGGATGAAAGGAGCCAGCACACATAGCCTATTTAAAATATCTTGGCCCTTAGCAAGACTCAGTAAGGGTAGCTTGTATTCCTCTGTGTGTGTGTGCATACACGCCATCAGGTAAAATCTACGCAGATCAAAGTAGACCCTGATGGAGAAAAACCTCTGTGACAGGGCCCCTGGGTGTCTACGATCTCCTCCATGGTGTTAGGGTATCTTTTAATTGTCCCAAAACTGGGGAGACTGGATAGTGGGTGGAAGACTTCCAACACTGTCAAGAGCAGTTTAGTAATTGGATTCTTCCAGAGGAGGTTTCTTGCAGGTGCACAGGGTGAGGGTTGCTGCTCTCAACTCTGGGGCCAGGTTTTCTGGCCCTGGGGACAAGGGCAAAAATGGTGGGCTTCAATAATGGGATTTACTTATTTATTTATTGACAGTTTAAAGCCAAGTCTTAACCAGTTTTTCCCCCTTTGTTCTTTTAAAAACTGGTCTTATTATGGCAGCATTATAGTACTTAGGATTCAGCATCCAGTTTAAATAAATAGTTGTGTTTTACCCATACTAATTGTAATGATTACATGTTATTTTGTGGGAAATGGTGAAAAATTGTGCTCGGGGTGGGTCTCACAGATAATGAATTTACCTTTTTGTGTAATAGGTCTCTGCTTTTAATAAGCCCGCAATTTCCCGGTGGTCTGACAGAAAAGATCCCCAATTGCATTTGGGAAGTGTCAAAGAAAATAAGCTTTCTCTCTAAAAAGATGAATAATTTCAATTACTCCTTTGACTAACATTTTGGTCCATTAAATGCTTTCCCCGTTTGCCGTTTGGGCTGACATCAGGGGCTTTGCTATCAAAGAATATTACTGTCATTGCCTTTGTTGAAACGGGCCTTCCCTCCCCGCTCTAAGGTCAGTTTTTCATGGCCTTGGGAGGGCCCGGCCGCAGTGGAAACAACAGCGCGGCTTGTATTAATGGCCTTTGGGAAAATGCAGTGTTGCCGGCCAAGGAAGAAACGGCAAGGGGTGGGCT